AGCTGCAGATGTACCGGGGCAGCAACCCCGACACTTGCCATACTCTTAACAATGGCAGTGCTGATAAGAACTACAAAAAGTTAAAGTAGTCCTGATGCACTACAGTCAGCAAGTAGAACCGAACCAGAAGCAAACACATGAATAGAGAGATGCATTCATCATGATAACAATGATCAAGCGAAGCTGTCCTGTGCACTGGACTCACGATTCAGGAGGGGGTGGTATCCAAGCAGCCTTGGAATTGGCTGATTTCTTGGACGGTTTAGTTTCTTGGTGCTCATCCCTGCAGAGAGGCGACCAAAACCCAAGCTGTTTGGAGCTCTTTGCAATCTGAGCCGCGGGTGTTTAGCCCAATCTGCAAGTGCGGCAAATACGGAGGATTTAGGGTTTTTCCGGCTTAGGGTTTAGAATTTCGGGTAGTTTCGGGCTACCCTAAACCCTAAACCCTAAACCCTAAACGCTAAACCCTACACCCTAAACCCCCAAGTCACCAGCCAGATCCTGCTCTGGGAGGCTCCGATCCCCACGCCTGAGGAGCTGCAAAGACTGCAGCTGCTGCAGGCTTCAGGGTTCAGTGGGTTTAGGGTTTAGGGTTTAGGGTTTTGGGTTTTGGGTTTAGGGTTTAGGGTTTAGGGTTTAGAATTTAGGGTTTAGGGTTTAGGGTTAGGGTTTAGTGGGTTTAGGGTTTAGGGTTTAGGGTTTAGGGTTTAGGGTTTAGGGTTTAGTGGGTTTAGGGTCTAGGGTTTAGGGTCTAGGGTTAAGGGTTTAGAGTTCTGGGTTTTGGGTTCAGGGTTTGTTTGGACGGCTTCAAGGTTGTTGGGGTCTAGGAGATTCGGGTTTATGAGTTTAAGGGTTTTGGGGTTTATACAGGAAAGGGTTTACGGGATGTAGACTTTAAAAGCTTTAGGGTTTAGGGCTTGGGAGTTGGGTTCGGAAGCTGTTTGGCTTTGGCTAAAGAGGGTTTCGTGTAATCTTGATGATCCTACGCCCTTTTGATGCCTTTCAGCCTGTGTTCGTGGTTTTGTGCCCTTGCGCGGCCTGGCCGTTGCGCGTCGACACCGTGTAGGCAGTGATATGAAGGGAGAAATTCAAGAACATGGTCGAGACGAGAATGTTTCTCTTCGATCGCAGGGGACTTCGCCTGAAGGGATGAGAGACGAATGGATGGGAGCTGACGAATATAGGGGACAGAACAATTACTATTGATATTTTCTCAGGGTCCCTTTATAGATGTACCATAACAACCCCCGTAACTCTATTCCAGTTGTTCAGGCCCCTATGTTACTCTTGTTTCTTCAAAAAGCCGTGCATTCCTGGAGGTCGATTCAGGGTTTAGGGTTTAGGGTTCAGGGTTTAGGGTTTAGGGTTTGCCCGAAGTGCACGCTCGCAGAGGAAGGTCCGACGCAGCCTGCTTCTTGGCCGTTGGTGGGGATTGGGGGGGGGGTCTAGGTTTCCCTGAACCCTGTAAGCCTATAATAAGCCCTAAACCCCAAACCCCGAACCTTAACCCTGAAACCCAAACTCTAAACCCCAAACCCTGAACCCCAAACCCAAGACCCGAAGCCCAAACCCTAAACCCTAAACCCCAAACCCTAGACCCTTAACCCGGAGATCGCTGGAGAAGGCCCTGGATCGAAGCCAGATGCCTGCCGTGTCCGCCCTGCCCTCGGCTTCCTTGTTGTCTCGGTATGGTCCCTTAACTACTCATTGCTTCTTCCTTGTTAAGGGGAATATAGGGATTATCATTTTTGAAGATATTCTTCCTTATTACGAGTAATATAGGGATTATCATTTTTCATTCTTGTGGGGTTCTTAAGCAAATAGTAGTTAACATGGTCCCTTACCTCCCTTAAAGGGTTCTGACGTATGGGCCCTCCGGTTCTAGAGGATATATACAACAAGAGGTTATAGAAGGAGTCCCTTTTCAGGGCCCATACTGAGGGACCATGTAACTACCCTAAACCCTAAACCCTAAACCCTAAACCCTAAACCCTAAACCCTAAACCCTAAACCACCCTTTCAGGGCCCTTCAATGAAGGGACCCATGTCAAGGACGGCTCTGGGCTTCTGACGAAGACCATCGAGCACCTTGTCGGCAGCTGTGCTTCCTAGCGTAGGGACGAAAGCTCGGTAGGGTTTAGGGTTTAGGGTTTAGGGTTTAGGGTTTAGGGCTTAGGGCTTAGGGTTTAGGGTTTAGGGTTTAGAGTTTATGGTTTAGGGTTTAGGGTTTAGGGCCTTGGGCCCTTGGGACATTTTGTCTTCTTCCTTGTTGGGTGTAAGAGGAGCATATTCAGGAACATTTTTCAGGGGGTTTTAAAGGGCCATCTTAGAAAGGACTCTTGTGCCCTCTAGAATCCCTGTAACGGGTGATGTAGAAAGGGATACGGGTGCCTTAGACAGTGATGTAGATAGAAGGGAGGGGATTTGTGTACCTAAACCAGTAAGTTGTCGGAAGTGGTACCACAGACCTGCTGGTTCTTAGTAGGGAATGAGGGAATGAGGGTCCTATATATACCCTTTAAGGGATCCTATAGGGCCCCAATCCCCCCATTCCCTACTAAGAACCAGCCAGACAGTCATCTGCAGTCGGGTATTTCCCAAAATAGGGGTGCCCCTTTTATACCGCAAATAGAGTAGAATCCCCTTAAAGGCCCGCAAAATGTCAGAGCCTGCCCAGCGAACCGTTTAGGTCTTGAGCTTCACGTGGAAGATTCTGACCCTAAACCCGAAACCCTAAACCCTGAACCCTAAATTTTTCAGCTCAGGATTCAGGGTCCAAAGCTTCAGAGAGGCCTCATGGTTTTATGGTTTGAGCTTAGGGTTTAAGGTTCAGGGCTTAGGGTTTAGGAGTTTTGTTTAGGAGTTTAGGGTTCAGGGTTTAGGGTTCAGGGTTCAGAGTTTAGGGTTTAGGGTTTAAGATATTTTTACGAGCATCTTAGAAGTGCCTTCGACTTCTCTCACTTGCAATCCCCTTCCCTTGCTTGCACGAGCCTCTGGAAATTCACATCAGGCACTACACCTTCGCGGACGGTGAGGACATCTACAGTAAAGTCCAGAAAGTTAGAACATGATTTAAGGACGACTAGGTGCTGGGAATTCCCTTTAGTAGGCCTCTTGGGGTATGAGGATAAGGAGTTTGCTCTAAGGGCCGGGGCAGATGATCGCAGCTCTTGCCTTGTTGACGATCATGCCTTTCCGGGTGTCATTGACTTGCCTGTGGGCCTTGGGGTTTAGGGTTTAGGGTTTAGGGTTTAGGGTTTGGGGTTTAGGGTTTAGGGTTTAGGGTTTATTTAGGGTTTAGACATGGGCATTGGGTTTCCGGAATAATTACTCATAGTCTTCCCTTATGGCTCCTTTAGAATTATACTATATTCGCCCCCCCCCCCCCCCCCCCCCCCAAAAAAAAAAAACCTATTCTAAGTTATTAAGGCCCCTATTTTAGCCAAGTGATCATCTCTCACGGCGGAAAAGAGTTGGTAGGACCAATCTAATCGCCGTTGGGTTCCATGCTTCCCTTGGCTTGGACAGCTCAGTGTTTACAGGGTTTAGGGTTTAGGGTTTAGGGTTTAGCAGAATAGACCCAACACTGCTGTAGGTGTGTCGGAACTGCCTTTTCCAGCGCAAGTGCTGGTCCGGAAAGAGCCGACAACCTCTTAAATACGACTGGAAGAGTACAGGTTCGAACTTAGCCATGCCGCGAGGTAGTGGAGTAGGCACGGAGTGCATTTCATATTTTATGCGCCGCTCACTTTTTTTATTACAGCTGGCTTAGGGTTCAGGGATGAGGGTTTTGAAAAGAACCCTCCCTGTCGGAGGGGGGGGGTATGATGCGGGCCGGAGGGGGGGGGGGATGGGGGGGAGAGAGGGGCGCGGCCAAACTAAATTGGTGTTTGGAGTAGTTACATCTTTTTTGATATCGGGGCTGCAAACGGCAAGTATCTTCTCCTGTTCAATTTTAGAACGATGGGCGGGGTACATAGTGGTTTAAGGAACATTCCCCAGCATTTGGGATGTTGGAGTCTCTGGGACAATGCTTTCGTGAGCCCCAACAGTGCATGCCAAAACCCCAAACCCTAAACCCCAAACCCTAAACCCAAACCCATAGCCATGAAGCGAATCCCGTGGAACGAAGATCACTCGCAGCTCGTGTGGAATGCCCTCCCTACATCCCGGCACGTAGGGAATGGGGGGAGACTCCCTTAAAGGGTATAGATGGGGCCCTTGATTCCGTCATTCCCGGCTAACCAACAGTAAGTAAAGACTGGGGTTGATTGTTTAGGGTTTCGGGGTTGGGGAGTTAGGGGCCCCATCCCCGGATGAGAAATGTAGCCAGGACTCTGTGTCCTTTAGCGTGAATGTGGACAAGGACATGCCACAGCGGGCTGAGGATTTGGGCTCCCAGGGATGAGAAACATAGGTTTTCGGTTTCGGAACCCTGCAATATAGGGTTCTTCAGGGAGGGGGGTTCATGGGGGGTAGCTGCCTAGGGAAGCTTAGGGAGCCTAAAAGGGAGTAGTAGGGAGAACTAGGGAGCCTTGGGTTACATCCCCCCCCTTGAATCCCCCTCCCTTACGAACCCTATAATAAAGTAATGGCTGAGTGCGCCATCAGGTTGTGCGTGCACATCCTGACCCGGCATCATCACTCTCTGCATTCCGACGTCCTAATGAAGGGAGCCAGAAGCCATCTGGCTGAAGCCGTGAGGTCTGTCACAGGCTCAGGCCACACCTACTTATATGGAGTTTACTGCATGGTGCAGGGTTTAGGGTTTAGGGTCTATAAGGGTTTAGGGCTTCTAGACGCAAAGTTCCAGCAGTTGCCATCAAGGCGCATGGCGTCGAAAGCCCCCCGGCGCTGATCGTACGGGTTGGTGTAGACCACGGCATACCCAAACGAGCAGTCCCTACTCAAAAGTGGGAAAAAAGGCGTCTTAAACATGCTGAAGGCCCCCCCCACGAAGCTCAATCGCAGAGCAGGGCAATTGCCATCTAAGACTTGCCATGGCAACTCGGGCACGCGCCCTCTTCCTGCTGCTGCTGGCCACAAGCAGCATCATCAGGTGCTGGAATGATGCCTTCTGTGAGCCTGCTATTTGCTGAAGAACCCCCCAAATTTAAAGATAAGAATCCCTATACTACCCTTACAAGGAAGAATATTTTAAGCAATCGGTAGGAACGGTGCACAGTATCTGCATTAGAAGCTGGAATGCCCCATGACAGCCGAAGCCAGACCCCCTACTGTAAGCCCTAAGCCCCTGAAGCCCTGAACCACTTAGCGTATACCCTCTCAATTCCTCGACTCTAAGCCCTACTTGGAGGTTCAAGGGTACTTGAAAGTAGGGCCATGAGTACCCTAAATAGGGTTCTAGGTATAGCTACCATAGCTATAACTCTGGCTATAACTACCCCTGCACCCCCAAGTAAACCCACCTAGTTACCTACTGTGTAGTAGTAACTACTACCCCTTGATAAGGGCCCTGTATATACCCTTTAAGGAATTAATCAGAGAACATGAGGGTTAAACCCTGAACCCTAAACCCTAAACCCTAAACCCTAAACCCTAAACACACCAGGCCTTGCTTCACCGGCCTCCGCACTTCGAGCCGAGCTCCCCGAAGCGCCATGCGCCGCTTCAGCAACGCCGCGGCCGGGCAAAGCAAAGTTTCTTAGGGTTTAGGGTTTAGGGTTTAGGGTTTATTTTAGGGTTTAGGGTTTAGTTTAGAGTTGAGGGTTACCTCACCAACCGAAAAGCCAGTAGAATTACAATCGCTGCAAGTAAGTCAGTACTATTGCGATCATAAGCCCTAAACCCTAAACCCTAAACCCTAAACCCTAAACCCTAAACCCTAAACCCTAAACCCTAAACGTGGAGGAGCCTCAAGCCCAGAGCCTTGCAGGCAGAGTGGATGGAAGCCAATGGCTACGAGATCAAATCGAAGCAGGGTCGCGGAGGTGTCTCGTGCGCATCGGGCCTCTTATCTCTTTTTCTTTTTTTTTTTTTTGGGGGGGGGGGGGTTTAGGGTTTAGGGTTTAGGGTTTAGGGTTTAGGGTTTAGGGAGTTTAGGGTTTTGGGTTGAGGGTTTAGGGTTTAGGGTTTAGGGTTTTAGGGTTTCAGGGTTTCAGGGTTTCAGGGTTTCGGGGTTTCAGGGTTTCAGGGTTTCAGGGTTTCAGGGTTTCAGGGTTTCGGGTTTAAGGTGGGGGAGGGGTAGGGGCTAGGGCAAAAACCTGGGCCCTAGGTGCCCCCAAACTTAGCGACACGAGCTTTTATCCACCGCTGCGGTGGGGATGGATGAACAGGAAACCTCCTAAACCCAAAGCATTGAGCCCAAGTGCGGGCTTTGCTAAGCGTTTGGGGTTTCGGGTTTAGGGCTTTATGGGGTTTAGGGTTTAGGGTTTAGGGTTTAGGGTTTCGAGTTAGGGCTTTATGGGGTTTAGGGTGCCCTGCAGGAAGTAGTTGGGCTTCCTTCCAGACCTTGGAGACGGACAAGGCCGTTCTTCTTCCCTAAACCCCCTAAAGTTGAGGTTCAGGGTTTAGGGTGAAGGGTTTAGGGTTAAGGGTTTAGGGCTTAGGGTTTAGGGCTTATGGTTTAGGGTTTAGGGTTTAGGTTTTGCTTTGAAACCTTAGCCTCAAACCCTTTGTTGAGCCCTGAATGCCCTCGAAGCCCCAAATTCCATGAGCCCTGCTCTTAAGCCCGAACCCCCGTGCACACCAACACAAGAACCCAAACCCAAAGTCTTAGGTTGGAACCATATGGGCCCTTAGTGTGGCCCCTCAACCCTTGTTGATAATGGATCCGAAGTATGGGCCCTCATTACTTGTATGTATAGTGTTCGGATCCCCCATAAAGGCACAAAGTCGGGGGAAAAGGGACGCAAGCGGCTTATGGAGGCTTAGTTGTAGGGGCCGTAAACTGCGCCACGTTGGACCGGTAAGTCGAGTAGCCCTAAACCCTAAACCCTAAACCCTAAACCCTAAACCCTAAACCCTAAACCCTAAACCCTAAACCCTAAACCCTAAACCCTAAACCCTAGGGGTGGTGGGTTCGTGCCCTCTTGCAGGGAGACTTCTTTGTGAAGACCTCCAACCGTCCGGCGGAGAAGATGTTCAAAGGCCAGGGCTCCGAAAGTGTCCCTAAAGCCCCCAACGGTTTAGGGTTTAGGGTTTAGGGTTTAGGGTTTAGGGTTTAGGAAGCCCTCAACCTAGCCCGCCTCCTATGTTGTGCAGGGCTGACGCCCCCCTCCCCCCCCCATCCCCCCTGTTGGTGAAGCTACGAGTGCCGGGCGGCGTCGAGTCTTTCTCTTTTTGGTTTACTGTAGGGTTTAGGGTTTAGGGTTTAGGGCTTAGGGTTTAGGGTTTAGGGCTACCAGCACCCAGAGTAGGCCCGTATTCCATGTTTCTTGGGGTTTAGGTCCCCTGAGAAGTCCTTTTAGACCCACAAGGGCACCCTTTTTATTCCTAGGTACCTTTCGGGTCTAGTTGTTGTGGAGGGCGAGGCTCTTTCGCCAGTGTGCACCAGACTTGGGAGCATGTGTAGTTTAGAAATGTGGCTGCCGACTATATCTGTGTATATAGATATGTGGTCATATGTATATAAACGCATGTTTGTTTAGCTTTGTTGCTTCTTATTCATTCGCGCACAAGAAATGCGTGCACACCTGCATCTACATGTATATATATATATATATATTTGTATACAGAATACATATATAGATATACAGAGAGAGAGAGAGAGAGAGAGAGTGTGTGTGTGTGTGTGTGTGCGTGTGGGTGGTGGTGGTCTGTGTTGCATTGAGTTTCTCCTTCTCTCACAATGTTGAATCATTTGTTCGAGATACTTGATTATATACATATATATGTATAGTCCAACTGTTACCCGTTACCCCTTATTTGTCAAACTGCTCCTTGCTTGTATTTCATGCTAGCTGGCTTTTACTCAATTTGCGGAGATTGTGGTTACCCGGTTTTGAATGAACTCCCAACTGATCTGAAAACATCAGACTCCCAAACAGTGTGTCAAAGCAAGAGCTTTATTTTTTCCTGAAGCTGTGTTCGTAAGCATCAGATCAGTTTAAGTAGTTTGGTGATGTTGAGTGAGTTAGCTATCTTCCCTTGCCTCAGTTACAGAAAGGACTGCCGTAAGGTGGAGTTTTCGATGTATCTTTAATGCTTCAGGTTGGGTTTCGGCCCATATCGTTGGGATTCACTTCATAGCAGTTCTACGCAATCTAGACAAGTTGAGTTCGTTCGTGAGGAGTGACGTAAGACGGTCTTCAGAAAGTTGGAGCTTCCTTGTCTTGCGGACTGCCGGGGTGGGAGGGTTAGGGGGAGGGTCTTCCAGCACCTGTTTGGCAGCTTTCATGGCCGTAGTTGGATTTGAGCCGTGTTTCTGCACATGTCTTGAGCCGCCTTTATGCGCATGTATTTAACTTTGATGTTGGCTTCCGCTTTTCGAGCAGAATGCCTAAGGATCTGGAAGTTTGATCTCCTTGCAATGAAAAAGCTCAAGTTTTCAACAGAACACTTTAAGTTGCAGCAACTTGTGATTAGCTTGCATCTTGCTGTGTGCCAGTAAGCGATACTCACGCTTTGGTCTATTTGGGTCGAAGGGTGGTTGGCTTCTACGAAAATCCTAGATCAAATCGAGCATTGGGGTCTTCAAGTCAGCCTCGGGATGGCACTGGCTGTGTGTTAGCTTATCTTCGCAGAACGCCGGGTAAGACGGACCATCCGGAAATCTCACCTGGGCTCCCGATCCCTAGGACTTGGGAGTTACCCAAGAGAGTAGTGGCAATGAGAAAGGCAGTGGACGAAACAGGTAGTACTACGCGAGAGTAGTAAGCCTTATGCCCCAAGCCCGAAACGACAAACCCCACACTCTGACCCCCCCAAAACCAAACTCGAACCCCTAATGCCCCAAACCCCCAACCCTTAACCCTAATCCCTAAACCCTAGCGCCATAGGGTTTCTCTCGGGTCTCTACTTGGAGGTTCATGGGTAGTTATAAGCAGTGTTAGAATTTGTTTCTGGTATCTAAACTTATGACCCTGTTTAGAACCGTAAACCCTATAAACCCTATAAACCCTATAAACCCTATAAACCCTATAAACCCTATAAACCCTATAAACCCTATAATAAACCCAAGAAACCCAATAAACCCTATAAACCCTATAAACCCTATACACCCTATACACCCTACAAACCCTGTAAACCCTGTAAACCCTGTAAACCCTATAAGCCCTACAAGCCCTACAAACCCTAAACCCTAACCTCTTATAAAGCTACCCATGAACCTCCAAGTAGGTGCCCTGACGAGGCGAGGCCCTGGGCCTGGACGCGCTGCGTGCCGCAGGCCGATGTGGGGTCGGGGTTTAGGGTTTAGGGTTTAGGGTTTCGGGTTTCGGGTTTAGGGTTTAGCGTTTAGGGTTTACGGTTTACGGTTTACGGTTTACGGTTTACGGTTTACGGTTTACTGTTCACGGTTTACGGTTTACGGTTTAATCCATTCCCCCTAATATTAATACCCCCCTAATATAAAAATCCCCCCAGCCCCAAATACCGATCCCGGGTCTGTCCCTATTAAAACCTCTACAGAGTTAGGGGGGGATTAGGGGGGGTGGGGGCCCTAAACCCTAAACCCTAAACCCTAAACCATAACCCTAAACCCTAAAACCCTCGACCCTAAACCTAACTAAACCCTAACCCCGGGCTGGTTTCTCGGACAAACGATAAGAACCCCCCCTAATACTAAAAACCCTTCGGGGGTTTTTATACAGGGGGGGGGGGGGGAGGGGGGGGGCCTTTTATATTAGGGGGAACGGATGATAGAGGGAGGTATACGCGTCAAGCATAGTAATGTATAGTACAGTATACCGAAGTTTTTAGTATGATAAAGTATAGTGAGGACAGTACCGTATACCGGACCCTCCTTTCTTCAGGTGCCTACTTGACCGACCGCGTTATGCTATCTTTGACAAGTAGCTGCCGCCCCGCCGAGGTAGTGCAGTGCAGTGCAGTATAGTGCGGTCATAGTATTGCATAGCATGGTATAGAGCATGCTCTAGCGTGGTATAGTTAGTATGGTCTAGTAAAGCAGAGCGGGGGAGAGGGGGTGGGTGGGAGAGGGTACTTGGAGAGATACTTGGATGATAAGTAGCCCTAGATAAGGTGATAGTTACGCTATCACTCTACTTATATATGACTACCCATGAACAATTCTTTGCAGCTTGAAGTTTGGAGGGGGTGTTCCTTGTACATCTTGCTCATAGCCAGGACCCGACAGAACTTATGTTGCTGAAGAGTAGGGCTGAACCAATTTCGGAACGCACCTAATAGACTCGATTGCATTATTATATAGTATTTGAAGGTATGAGAAAAGTGTTGTACAGCATCAGTAGTGTGCTGTATATAGTACTCTTTATATGCTATTAGACAGTACTATATAGCCTGCTATACTCTTATTTAGTATTGCAGGGTACTCTCTAGAGTTTCTATAGTATTAGGATTATGCAGCATGCCCAGCCATACTTGAGAGCGAGAGGAGTATCCGCACAGGAGGTGTCTGCGTGCCGAGAGTCGTCCACTACGGGGACGACGACAAAGGAGGGCGCATGGGTTTGGGTTGTTGGGATGCTGTGTTCAGCATGTCGTGTGCCGGTTTCCATGTTCTTGAGCCAGAGCTCGTTTGAAAGTGCAACCTGGGCAGAGGCCATGCAAGAATGCCTACTTGGGGGGTCATGGGTAGTAATGAGTAGGGTTAGAACCTTCTTTAGGGTGCTCATAACCCCGCTTATAGCTATCTGTCCACCCACCATGGCCGAAAATCAGGCTTACTCTCAACCCCAAGCCTTGGAGGCTCTTGGGTACATAGAAGTAGTGTTATAAGTAGGTAACGATGGTTATCCTTATGTAGGGTTCTTATAGCCCCACTTATAAGTACCCAGGAACCTTCAAGTTCTAAAGGTTCCAGTGTCGGCAGGAGGGTCGTACATCATCATGCAGAAGCTGTCCATGGGTGGCCGCCCCAACATGAAAGAGTTCGGCCGCGCGCTGGCGAAGCTCTTTGACCTGTTTAGGGTTTAGGGTTTAGGGTTCAGGGTTCAGGGTTTAGGGTTTAGAGTTTAGGGTTTAGGGTTTAGGGGAACATACCTCAGCCCGTAGCATTCCCGACCTTCCGGATACAACGTTTTGGTCACATTCACTGTGGAAACACAAATGCTCGGGGCAAGTCTTTCGGGCGCATTTGCCACCGCATGAAGCACGCAAGGCGCAGTGCTCACCAGCTCAAATCTGACGACATCGTCTCCCTGCATTGATGCGTATTCCTTCAGATGCCATTCTGCAGTGCGCACCAAACGCCAAACCACAACCTCCTTGCAAAGATGGCAGTCGCGGTACAGTTTGCTTAAGGATCACCGCCCAAAAAGCAACACAAACAACATGCCCTCAACGGTAATTACAGTTATCATTACTACCTACTTTCTGAAGGGTCTCTCAAGCTAATCCTAGTAGCTGAGGATCAAGCCGTAGCCTTCTGCCGCACGTGGGACCTGCTACCCTCTACCTGGACCCTTAACTATGGTTCCTCTTTTTTGGGGAACCGGAAGTTATCGTTCGCATGGCCTAAAAAAGAAAGTCAGGCACCTAAAGCAAACGAAGCTGCAATTGAGGTAGGCCAAAACGGACCTCTCTTGACTGCTTGTGATCAAACCAACACAACAATTGAAGCCTGAGTTGCTACAACCTGGTTCTTCCGAGCCCTCAGCCCTAGCCCCAAACCCCAAACCCCAAACCCCAAGCCCCAGACACCAAACCCCAAACCCCAACCCCCAAGCCCAAAGCCCCAAACCCCAAACCCCAAACCCTAAACCCTAGCATAGAGCACGCTTAGCCTAAACCCTAAACCCTAAACCCTAAACCTTAAACCCTAAACCCTAAACCCTAAACCCTAAACCCTAAACCCTAAACCCTAAACCCTACAAGAGCACACCAAGGATGCACCTAGCCGAGCCTGCCGACCCAACTGCAAAGGAGGGGCAGTTTGGCTTCGAGGTCCCGAAATGGATTTTTTTTGGGTGGGTTTAGGGTTTAGGGTTTAGGGTTTAGGGTTTAGGGTTTAGGGTTTAGGGTTTAGGGTTTAGGGCTCAGACCCCTGGGAGGATCCAAAAGTCGAAGCCCCCAAATAGTACCCTATTAGGGTTCAGGGTGAGCCATCACATTGTGCCCCATACAACTATGGGGTGGGGAACTACTTTTTGGATCCTCCCAGGGGTCTGGGTTAAGGGAGTATGGGGGGGGGTTCCCCGAAAACACTAAACTTTTTTCGTGTGAATTTTTGGGTGCATTACAGTACCCCTATTTTGGGAAATGCCCATATCAGAGCGATTCTGGCTACCTGTAGGGTAATCATCAATAATCGCAATGATCCTACCCAAATTCGGGGTTGGCAATCCCTGTACTCTGCGCAGTCCAGTTCGGTTGGTATGGCCCGGCTGATTTAGACAGCTGATCAGCACTGCACTCTAGCCTCGGGCTGTGTTCCCTTTTTGCTACGAATTGGTGGCAAGCTGGTTGATTTCGAAGAAGTTCATGGCACACAGAAGAACACATGGTGCAGAGGCTTGGGGTGCGGGGTATTCAGGGCAGCGATTTAGGGGCTAGAGTCTTCGGTTTGTCTTGCTTGCACCATGTCGACCACAGATATTTGGGCCCAAGCCTTAGAGCAGGGAAACCATTCGAGCTGTGATGAACTCGACAGCCGATTCAGATGAGAACCGATCCTCGAGCGTGTGCGTGGACACGGAGGACCCAGAGCTTGCCATTGGAGACGACGAGGAGTGGGCTCCGGAGTGGGTTCTTCAGATGAAGCCTTCGGTTTACGAAGCTGCATTGGTGGTGCCCTTGTTTTCCCGCTGGACGTCCACTGCCTGGGTGTGGTTCTTGCTGACCATGAACTTTGTGATGCAGTTCGCTGTGGTCTACATCCTCTACACCCAGGTCAGTGCTCCAGAGCCGGCACCAGGTAGGGATTTCTACAGCAGGCAGGAAGAGGGGACCGGCCTCTGTTCTTGGGCCAGGAGTGGGTCGAGCGCCTCCAAGCTCAAGGGCTTCAACTTCACAGAGGATGTGCTAGTCTGCAGCATGGATGAGGTGCTCCTGACTCGGGATTTTGACACCCCTAAACCCTAAACCCTAAACCCTAAACCCTAAACCCTAAACCCTAAACCCTAAACCCTAAACCCTAAACCCTTAGGTGCTCCTGACTCGGGACTTTGACACCCTGGACCTGGATGGCGACGGTCGCTGGACGTATGCGGAGGCCAAGCAGCTGGATACTTGGTAGCCCAGTGGTACCCTTTACTTTTGTTTGGCTATGGGTTTAGGGTTTAGGGTTTAGGGTTTAGGGCTTAGGGTTTAGGGTTTAGGGTTTAGGGTTTAGGGTTTAGGGTTTAGGGTTTAGGGTTTAGGGTTTAGGGTTTAGGGTTTAGGGTTTAGGGTTTAGGGTTCCCCTAAAAAAATAACTAACCCCAAAAAGGGTGCCCTTAGTAGAAGATGGTTACTGGGCTACCAAGGATAAGAGGCACCAGGTCCAGACGGGGCATCAACCCAACCTCGGCAGCGTCTTCGACAGTCTCATGCTCTTGGTGGGGCAGTTTGCCGCGAATCATGCTTCCTTCAAGTGCAAAGTGGGCGACTATGTGGGGGGCTTCCTAAAGAAGCAGGGCTTCTGGTTTGAAAACCTCACCATCCTGGGTCAGGAAGTGAGCTCGGGCGAGAAAGGAATTCTTGTTCAAAGCAACACTTTCAGTTATGGGTACGACACGCTCGACAAGTACTTCAAAGTCAAAGACGTTTCTCTGCTGACAATGACAGACAAAGCCGAAACCATCTGCCGGATGGCTCCTTGCCTGGACACTGACTACGGGAGGCTGGATAGAACAGACTATGGAGGCTGCGCGTGGTTTCTCAGTGAAGGCATGGACCTGGAAAAGGGGTATCCAGCGACCAGGAACGGCAGCTTTGATGTCGGAGACTTGAGGTTCCGAGACCTGTGCTGCCTCTTTGGGGGTGGGACGACTTCGCCGAATATCACGGGCTTTGGAAGCTACCCAATCAACCTGGCCAGGGAGGACATCTTCCCTGCCGCCGAGTATTTCGCTTGCACGAAGCGTGATGATGCAGAGAGTTGCATGCGGCAGTTCGGCAGCATGCCCCGTCAATTCTACCAGGCAGAGATTGAGCCTCTGATGGATCTTTGCCTGGTTGCAGACGCGGACATGTGCGGGAACATCCTTGCAAGGAAAGCATGGCCAGCAATGTTCACGGAGGGCTTGAACCTGGAGAAGCGTTTCTGGCAAATGCTGGAGAATGTGACGATTCCGCTCCTCTTTAAAGCAGCTGGCTCTTCAGAGGTTCGACAGCTCAGGCGAGTGTGGTACGAGTACGATATTGGTAGAAATATTAAAAATCATCTTAATAATACCATAAAAATAGAAGACCGAAATTCAATAATAAAGTAATAATAATCGTACTTAAGAGCAATCGGAATTATAGCAATAGTAACAATAATAATAGTACCAAAAATCATCATCATCATCATCATCATAATCATCATAATCATCATAGACATAATTGTGACATAATCATAGTCATAGTGATGATTTTGCTACTGCGAATGACAACAATGCGGCTGAGGCCTCAAGCAGCTTGTGAGGCAGTCATGACTCACATCTGCCCAGTACTCTGGAAGGCCCTTGGAACAGTTTTTGTGTTCCGTTATTGGGTTCAATCTAGAATCTAGGTTTTGCTTTCAAATGGTCCAGCCAAGGTACTGTTTACGGACCTGGCTCAATGGAAGACACGCCGTTTGGAGCAGTGCGGGCAGAGAGCCACAGTTTCCGCAGCTTTCTCGCTTTCCCAGTATCAGCACAGTGCTGACTTCAATGCGCCAATGGGACTTCGGACCCTGGTTTTTCAGGTCTTCCTGAACCTTCTCGTTTGTTTGTGGGCAACTATCTCCCCCTTGGATTTTTTTCATCTTTGTTTATACTTTTATATAACCCAAGAGGATATTTGAACATGTTGTTTGTATTAAGGTTCTAAGGGGAGTATATTTTTATAAAACCCAAGAGGATATTAAAAAGAAAAAAAAATATATATATATATATATGAATATTTAGGTTCTAAGGGGAGTATAGGCAATTGCCAACGTGGAAGAGCTCCGGGATGTGATAACGTGGTGGCTGACTCTCTGCCGGCTGCCTGAAGGAAAGACCATGCACGAGTGCCTCACGAAAAGCGAGAGCCTATATTCCCCTTGGGATTTTTTTTTCAATAATTTTTTGTTTATAAAAAACCCAAGAGTATATTACTCACATTTTTGTTAAGGTTCTAAAGGGAGTAAAGGAGCCAGGGAAAGGAGGAACACGTGCGGGCTCTTCCTCGATGGCACCGTAATGCCTCGATCGTCTTGGTGCTCATTCCAAGAACTGTCTTGTTCGCCATGATCTTCCACGTGGGCATTCTGTTCTTGTTCGTCGTCCGCAGCATGACTGACCTCGTCTTGAACAGCCTGGCTCTTACCTTCCTCGTGACTGTCGATGACATGCTCTTCGCAGCCTTCGTGGATCAGCGTGCCTGGTTAATGAAATGAACCTGTTATCACAATCCGAAGAGGTGATGTTCTACATGCGCTACTCGTTGTTCTAGTAATTACTATTTCCGGTGTTTTCGATTTCGTACCATTGGCCCCCCTGAGGCACACAAGATCGTGTGACTAAGCTCGAGGTGGAAGGGAGCACCGGGTCTACCTTGGGCAGGCGCATTCGAAAGGCTAAGCTGTCCCGAGAACTCCTCCTCTTCCTTCCGCTCTTGACAGTGGTCCTTGTACAAGCAACTCGGAAAGGTTCTCGCATAGAAGAAGGGGGGTTTTTCAGTCGGGAAGAATGGGTTAGCCAGGGATTTGTGTAGGGCCAGCCAAGGCAATCATGCACTTCGAATGGACAGCTGAAGTTGGGGATGCTTTGTCCTGCCTTTGCGAGGCGAATGGACATACTTGCTTCACTGACAAAGCTCTCATTGCAACTGGTGCACATGCCTACAAGAGATAGATGCTTCCCTAGAGGGCATGCGTGCAAGACCTGACGGCCTGGCACAGGCAGTGTGCTGTGCGGCTGTTTTCTCTCTAGGGCCGGGCTGTCCGGCGATTCTCTTTCGTCAATAGACTCTTTTAGTATCCTGAGTGCCCGTGCACAAGACCCTGGCACGATTTTGGGGTAGCTAGGCTACCGGCTTAATTCAAAGTCATCTCTCAAAACCTGCTTGCATCCACGCGGGGCCCTTGCAGAAAGGATTGCATTTCGCTCTTCAAGCATTCGCAGGGAACCCCAATTTTTAGGAACACGTTTCCGTGCCTTGAATGGCTTGATGTAATTGCTTACATTAGGTTCCCTTTCCCTCTTGCAACCAGTAGTAGGCAATGACGTGATGGGTTGAAGGGCGCGCTAGAGATCATTGCAGCAGGGGATTGCAAAGGCATTGTTATGACATATTTCATGATCTAGTGACAAGGGGCAAGAGAGAGCTGGATTTTTGGGATGAACCGGGCACAATAAAATATGTAGAGACAGAGAGAGAGAGAGTGCGCATGTTTCAGAGCATATGACAGGGTTTTGTGGCTTCAGGGTTCAGAGAGTTGTAGATGGTAACAGCTTCCCAACACTGATTGGCGCAGACTCTCAAGGATCCGAACAAAAAAATCAACAGAGGGCGCGGAAGAGAGCGCCCAAACCCGGCATAGTGGCTTATGCAGGATGTGTGCAGTTGAGGGTGTAACCTTCGGATGTCCCCCCTTATTCTAGCAGTCCCTGCATCGAGACTAGAGTACCACCATTATAATCCCAATTAAGGACTGATAGCATAAGGGGGATAAGCCCTATAAGCCCTGAAGTGCGCTATACCGAGCCGTCAGTTCAGACAGGTGGACAATACCATCGGGGGCACGCCACAGTCGAACACCTGGACGGGACATTGTGTTGGTGGAGAGCCACAAACCATAAAGCTATGATGTGCTTGAACACCTAAACCCTAAACCCTAAACCCTAAACCCTTATAAAAGCCCTAGCTTATTGAAGCTTCTGGGGTTCATAAAGGCTTGTAGGGCGGGGGGGTAATTACGGCTTGTGAGGTTTGTGAAGGCTTGACGGGTTGTCAAAGCTTCATCCCCTCCCCCTAGTATTAAAACCCCACTACCCCGTAATTTGAAATTCTCCCCATACATTGGGATGTTCCCCCTTGTCCATACTGGGATTGTAGTACCCCTATTATCATCACTATTAAGGACTGTTAGTACAAGAGGGAACAACTCTAAAACCCTAAACCCTGAACCCTGAACTCTGAACCCTGAACCCTGAACCCTAAACCCTAAACCCTAAACCCTACTATTAAGCACCCCCTGGTGGGTCGGCAGGTTGGCCGGTTGCATCCTTCGGGTTTTCAGGGTTCAGGGCTTAGAGTGTGGGGTTTAAGATTAGGGTTTTTCGGTTTAGGGGTTAGGGTTTAGGGTTTAGGGTTTAGGATTTAGGGTTTAGGGTTTAGGGTTTAGGGTTGAGGGCCTAAGTGGTGGCCTTTGGGGCCAGCCGCCATTGCCCGCGTTCAGGGCATTCTATTCTCCCCAAAACCATTTCAACCCGATTTTTTCGGACCCAAAGGGAGAGCAACTTGCTCACTTTAGGGTTTTTTGGGTTTAGGGAATAGGGTTTAGGGTTTATATGGTTTGTAGGGTTTCCAGGGTTTATATGGTTTATAAGGTTTATAGGGTTTATGGGGTTTATAGGAGTCTGAGGGTTTATAGGGTTTATAGGGTTCATGGAAATCATAAGGCTTCATAGGGTTTGTTTTTTGTGTTTCGGGGGCTTGGGGGTTTGGGGTGCAGGGCTTCAGTGGGAGTTTGGGCTGCGAAGAGGACCAGCAGCTGGCTGGACTTCTTCCGCGAGCAGCGCTTGGGGGCGCAGGCAGGGTTGGTGGCACCCAGAGAGCCCAATACGCCTTAGGGTTTAGGGTTTAGGATTTAGGGTTTAGGGTTTAGGGTTTGGGGTTTAGGGTTTAGGGGATCCCAACATGAACTCATGTATACGCGTCTTTTTAAGGCGCATGAGGCTCTCTGGGGGCACTACGGCTGGAGGTTGCTTGTGGTCAAGGCTATGTGGAGTAAGCAGCGCCGTGTAGGGTTTAGGGTTTAGGGTTTAGGGTTTAGGGTTTAGGGTTTAGGGTTTCAGGGTTTCAGGGTTCAGGGTTCAGGGTTCAGGGTGATATCTGACCCCTAAACCATCCTAAACCCCAACCCCTATCAGCTTTGAGGGTTCACAGTGCTTGCAGGGTTCTTGGGAACCTTGCAGCCCTCAGCCTGGAAACCCTCTATAAGCCTTACACTCACACGCCCTCAGTCTACAAGCGCAGTATTTGCAGGTGCGGATGGCAGGTAGCACGGAGCTCCAGCGGACGTGGGATCAGCTCCTGAAGGATTTGTCAATCGTAACGGGGGTTCCATTCAACAAGGTCTTAGGGGGTTTTAGAGGTGTAGGGTTCTAATAGGTTTGTTTATGTTGTGGCCACGTGATGGGGGGATAACTGGCTCAACTTAGGCTCCTGAATGACTTGAAGGTTCATGGGTGCTAGCAGTGATACATAGGCAGAGTTCCCAAGATATGTTCATGGCCAGGTTACGACTGCCGTTGCCCTACTTCTATCTCCAGTTCTTTTGAGCCCCTGAAGCTCCTATCCCGTTCGCCACGAAACCGTTAGTCCTGAAAGCCCCAGGTTAGTGGGGCCCCCTCTATAAAGTCAAGTGTTCCGGCCCATTTCCGGCTATCAGGATTTCGGGGCTGTTTCGGGGGTGCCCTATAAAAACATCCTGGTTTACAGTTTTATGCTTTCCGCCAGCAGCATCCCTGTTGTTGACGATTTCTGCAGTGTGTCGCTGGAGACACTTGTGCAAGAAGCCCCCCCCCCAACCAAACTTTGGACGACCTCAGGGACGCAGGATGCAGCAAATCGCGCGAATCGCTTCAGGAAATGATTTGGGAGCTCGAGGCCCTAACCCTAAACCACCTGCTCCACGAGGTTGAAGGGTTTAGCATTCCTCACGACCCCCATCCCCCCCTCTCCAATTCATGGGTTTAGGGGGTTCAAGCGTGGTTCGATGGTCAACCCTAAACCCTAAACCCTAAACCGCCCCAGGAGACAAACAACCTCAAGGACCTCTTCACTGATGTCGAGGTGAAGCCGCTGGAGTCTAAGAATCCTTTTCCCGGTGGTCGTGTAGTCCACGGGGGACGAAATGAGCCCCAAAAGGGTTTAGGGTTTGGGGTTTGGGGTTTGGGGTTTGGGGTTTAGGGTTTAGGGTTTGGGGGGTTTATGGTTCATGTACCTTGATAGGAACTGCAGTAGTATAGGGTCTCTGAGCCCAATTTTAGGGTTCGTTTGGTCCCGCAGGTTGAGGTGCATTTGGGTGGTTGTCAAAATTATGGCCCCTTTTTGGATCCCTATTATAATACGGCACCGAATCTTAAGGTACCCCAAAAAGGGATCATACTTTTGACAGCAGCACATTCAGGGTTTGTCCCTGCTATCCCTTGAATACCTGTTTCTTGGACTTGGCGAATATGTTTGGTGGTTGGTTGAAGTCCCTAAGGGTCCATCTACGTGGATAGTACATAGTTGGGCCCTAGAACCTCTACATAGACACCCCGTCATGGTCCTGCGATTTACTTTATGATAGGTACATGGGCCCTTGGAGTTTAGGGTTTAGTGGTTTAGGGCTTAGGGCTTAGGGATTCAGGGTTCCCTGGAAGTCTGAGAAGGCAAAGCATCAAGGTTGGATAGTTAAGCCCGCGCCGTGCACCTGTACCAGGGTTTAGGGTTTGGGGTTTAGGGCTTAGGGTAGCAGATGACTTTGGTGTTTCCACAGGACGCGTTTGGGAATTCTAGGGCAGTGGGTGTCTTGTGCCCCTTCCCACACAGCAATAAGGTTTCTATGGGGTTCAGGAGGAAAACCACGAGGGTACCTCTTTGGCCCAAGCCTTGCATGTCGCCTTTACCTCACTCTTTCGATCCTTTTTTCGGCTGCATAATAACGGCCCAGAAGAACCCAGACTGCTGGGAGGATCCAGCAAGTAGATCCCCATAAGGGTTCCTAAGAATGACCCAAGGGTAGGAAAGGGTGCGGTCTGGGAAGTCCTAAAATCTGCACCTGGGACGCCCATATTTGGATGCCCCCTTGTATGCCCTTGCGGCTAAGTCTTAGTTTCTATCTTGGAGGTGCGCGGAGAGTTCGTTGTTGTAGCTGGGGCTATAAGTAGGCTAACAAGTGTAGACCTCAGGTTAGCAAAGTACTGTACCCCGAATCATGTGGGCAAGTCAAGTGCTTTGCACAGAACAGCAGGACCCCCTTCAGAATTGTGCGAGGTTTCGTCGCACAAGCTTCATCTCAATTCCGAGACTTCGATTATTCGATTGGCAATCTGACGCAACCGTAAACCCTGAACCTGCTTTGGGGACACACTCATGCAAGCCCTCGGCGCTTGATCTTTTCGGCAGTTGACCCGAAAACCCAAAGAACAGCCTTGTAACAATCCTGAAAACAAGCCTTCATCAACATCCCAAAGCCCGAACACCGCTCAACAAAGACCGTCCTAGTCATAAACTTCAAATTCTGAACCCTAAACTCCAATCCCTAAACCCTTTCTTGAACCCCAGGCTCTCCAATTCCTTCTTCCGCACCTAAGTTTTTAATCTGGCCAGCGGTTGAGGGATTTAGGGGGGGGGGGTTCAGTATACTCTCAAAAAAGGTGACCACAACAACAATATCCACACAATTGGAGCTCCAGGCAGTCACTCTTCGCCCTAAACCCTAAACCCCAAACCCCAAACCCCAACCCTAAACCCCAAACCCCAAACCCTAAACCCCAAACCCCAAACCCTAAACCCCAAACCCTAAACCCTAAACCCCAAACCCCAAACCCCAAACCCAAACCCCAAACCCCAAACCCCAAACCCTAAACCCCAACCCCCAAACCCTAAACCCCAAACCCCAAACCCTAAGCCCCAAACCCCAAACCCCAAACCCTAAACCCCAAACCCCAAACCCTAAACCCCAAACCCTAAACCGCCCAGGTCCATCCTCCACGGGGATCTGTGGAGCGGGAACTACGAGATGACTCCCGAAGGGGTCGCCATCTTTGCCCCTCGGGTTTTCGGCTTGTTGTCGTGTCCCTCAGCCCTAAGCCCCAAACCCTAGCCCTAAACCCTAAACCCGAAACCCTAAACCCTAAGCCCCAAACCCTAAACCCTAAACCCCTCCCAGGGGTTTGGGTGCTTGTTGCGTCCCCCCAAAAAAGATAGTCTTTTTTGGAATCTCCCTTGTGGACATGACGCAGAGATTTACATCGACATCCTGTCCTCCATTTCGTGGTGCTTGCTTTTTGGAACTTCCCCGGTGTAGTTCCTCTCCATATCAGGGCTACAAGCACAATCCCTATACCCTGACCCCCAAAACCCTAAAACCCTAAATCCTGAACCCAAAAACCCTAGACCCTACTTACCAAAAAAATGGTATCCCGAAAAGGCATGGGGAAGTGCACTTGGAGAACTGTACACGGCTCGGTTTAGGGTTTAGGTTTTTACGATTTAGGGTTTAGAGTATTTAGGGTTTAGGGTTTAGGGTTTAGGGTTTAGGGCTAGGGTGTTCAGGGTTGAGGGTTTAGGGTTACAAGGATCCGGCGACGTACTACGGCCACCACGAAGCCGAGTTCGGGATGTCGTGGTGCGCTGGATTCAACCGCCGCTCAGCAAGCAGACTTGTTGGTGTAGGGTTTAGGGTTTAGGGTTCAGGGTTCAGGGTTTAGGGTTTTAGGGTTTAGGGTTTAGGGTTTAGGGTTTAGGGTTTGGGGTTTAGGGTTTAGGGTGTGTGTGTGTGTGGTTCCGAAGAATGTATAGGGTACTATTTGGGGGGCTCGACTTTTTGGATCCTCCGAGGGGTCTGGGTACTACATAGGGACATGGACCCTTCGGTAGACAAGGGTTGGAGAGGGAGCGCCACGTAAAGTTCCAAGGCAGATGTGGATAATTCCTGAAATCTGAGAGGTGGGAGCTGTCGCGCAGTAAACACAAAGGTCGCTGGCGTGTGTAGATCCCAGAGCCCTAGGATCATAAGCAGGTGGAACCTCCAAAGAGCACCCTATACGTTCTTAGGAACTGTAACCCTAAACTCCAAACCCTGAAACCCTAAAACCCCTAAACCCTATGCTACTGTTGGGCCACCCCTGGGCGCCCTCAAGGGGAACTGCTTTTAGAAAATTCCCAGGGGTCTGGGGGGAGGGCTGCCGTCTGCATCCGCTTGCCCGGGATCTCGAGAGGGACGGCTGTTGGAACATTTCTCACAGACGGCTTGCATGAAGGCGGTGTAGGGAACGTGAATCTTGAAAAGCAAGCTGCCAAAAAATCAAGCGGTAAACCCGAAACCCGAAATCCTAAACCCTAAACCCTAAACCCTAAACCCCAAACCCTAAACCCCGTCTAAGCTCTGAAGTCCAAGTCTGACTGAAGACTGCGCCAAGCGGAGCCCGCTGCAGGCGACTTTTGGCAGGGCTACCGGGAGATTATCCCAGAGGCCTGTTTATTCTCATAGTATATATCCATGTGAGCTGCGTTTTTTTTAGGCGCTCGAGCATAGGTACAGCGGACATTATTATTGTCCGCGGAAGGGGTGAAGAGGTGAACAAGATTCCGCGGAAAGTCGCGGAAGGGTCCGCGGAAGGCGTGGTGTCTGCGGAAGGCTCGCGGAAGGGCGGCGTGCTTGAAACCTAGATATAATGGATGCCCAACATGCCGGCAACCCTTTCGGAGAGCGGATCTGCGCGGAAGGCCCGCGGAAGGGTTGCGGAAGCTCCGCGGAAGGCGACGGGTCGTTTTGGAGGCCTAGGGTCCATGCCTCGTCCTCATGTACACCTTATCATTGCTGTTTCGGGCCGGGTGCGAAGGTGGAATCGCGTTTTTCCGCGGAAGGCTCGCGGAAGGAGCGGAAGGAACGCGGCACACGCCGCGGGGAAGGCCGCGGAAGGGTCCGCGGAAGTATTAGAAAGTCCATCGATTCATGCTAGAGAAAAAACACGGCTCATATATATATATATATATATATATATCTGTGTGTGTGTGTGCATGCACTGGAGGTTTAATACATACAAGCACATACATACAGCATCGTACCCCATTAGAATATAGCATCGAAAATTGGGATGCTTTAAGAGGCCTCAAGCTGTGGGAGCGAGCCCGAAGACAAGAGACCCTAAACCCTAAACCCTAAACCCTAAACCCTAAACCCTAAACCGTTGCTCCCCCCCCCAGGCGCCGCTGTTTGCCAAACGCCTGGAGCTTAGGGTCTCTTTGCGGGTCCTTCGCTGTCAATGTGGCGCTTTTCTTCAGGGCGTAGGGGCCCTTGGGGTTTAGGGTTTAGGGCCTAAACCCTAAAGCCTAGGGCCTAAACCCTAAACCCTAGAAAGCCGAGAAAGCCCTTAACAAAACCGCCCAAGCAGTCCCCAGCTCTCGCTCTCACGACTCGTGATGGCGCTGGAGGTCGGAAGCTCTATGAAGCCTACCACATCATCAACCACTACAATCTCTTCGGGGGCGGGTACTTGTACCAGGGGATTGGTCTGCTGAGCCCATAGGCTACCCAAGCCATGGGCCCCTTCCTTGGTGCTCCCCTACACAAGAATGACCCCCCGAAGCAGGACCATGATGTAGATCACGCTCCACCTCCACATATGAGTTTAAAACTCTGTGCTGCGTTCTGAGTGTGGGCGGAGAGAGGAGAGGCTTCTCTAGAAATGCTGACTTCGGGTTTAGGGTTTAGGCTGCCTTGAACCCCAACCCCCTCTTGAAACTCTTAACCCTGAAGTGAGTCGACGTGCAAGCAGCCTGCCTTGGAAACCAAATGAGCTCTAAAGTTGGGATCATCTACAGGGTTTAGTGTTTAGGGATTAGGGTTTAAGGTGCAGGGCTAGGGTTTAGGGCTATGCTGTAAATCCGTTTAGAAGTCAGACCCCTTTCAGGGCTCATTGCATCCTTATGGAGGGGTGTTGCTCGATGATCAGCACCCAGCAATGCGATATATCGTTTCCGCAGAAGCTGCGAAAAAGAAAGTTGCGAAGTTTGATGCCGCTTTTAGAGCTTGTAGGGACTAAAGTCCTCGGGGTTGAAGGGTCCATTCAGGGATGAGTCCTTAGCGGTTTCAGGGTTATTGAGGGGCTATGAACCCCCCCAAAAACCTAGACCTTAACCTCGGACGCAGAGTAGGCCCTTATTCCCTTTTTCAAGGGCTTGGGTTCCCTTGTAAGCCCCGCTAGATCAAAAAGGGTACCCGTTTTATTCCGGGGGTACTCTGGGGTCTAGCAACCCTCAGCCCTGAAACTCTTCCAGAGCTCCAGAGAGATGTGGAGGTTGCCGAAAATAGGGGTACTTTTTTTGGGGGGGGGGGGGCCCTTAAGGGGAATCTATTCTATTTCGGGGATAAAAGGAGTACCCCTATTTTGGGAAATGCCCATGTCTCCACATGTTCTTGAGCAGCTTCCCTGCCCTGGCAGAGTGGACGACAAGAAACTTAGGGTCACTAGAAAACTAAGTGTATGTTTTTGGTTCCCTAGTTTTCTTAGTGCATTGTCCCAAGTCTGAAATTCGGTGGAGGAGCTACTGGGGTCCCAATAAGACCCCCACAGTAGGACGAGGTAGGCGTCCTTCTGGGAATCTAGAAATAAACGCTGTTCCTCACACGGTCTCAAGGTTTCGTGTTGGCGTCCCAGCTCTCAAAGTGTTGCCGCAACCTGTGAGTCCGATCAATCCCTACACCTCAAACTCTGTGGAAGCCCAGTCGAAGACTGTAAGAGCAGATCTAGCATAGACCCTCCCACGGGCAACAAGAAGCTCATACATTCTGGCACATGACATATATATATATATATACATATGTATATATATATATACATCATATATACATGTACATATATATATATATATATCACATATATATATATATACATAATACGCGTGTGTAGCATCCTGAACTATTTGAGTTTCTGAGTGCTCCGTAGCAGTTTCTTGCGAGGATCTCTTCGAAGGAGCAGCGGAGTTTCTAAGAGCTTCCGATCAGGCCCCAGCCGCCTAAGCCTCGCTTGCGAAGGTCTCTTGAAGGCTTCAGGTGAGAGATCTTGGAGAATGTTGTTGTTTTGTTGTTTTCGAGGAGTTGACGTAGCAGTAGCAGGAGCAAAGGCAGTAGCCGCCTTGTCGGAAGGGGGCCCAGAGCTGCTGTGTGGCCAGGGCCTTTTGCAGGCTCGAGGCACTCTTTGCGCCCTAATCCACCCGCGTTTTTAGCCAGTCTGCTAGAACAAAAACAGGCGACAAGTAGTGTCCGGGTGGAGATGGGCACCTCGACATCCAGTCCTCATGAATATACTGTGGACGACCCGGGGGCCATTTAGGCGTTGGGAGATGGTTTGCTGGTGTCGTTCCCGGAAAACCCTTCAACCCCCTGAAATCCTACCGTGAGGGAAGCCCCGCGGTAGACTTCGCCTCACGAAATCCGCCGCGAGGTTCAAATATCCTCCAAGGCCACGTCGCTGGAGATCAGAATACAGGATGGTCCCGCTGACCATCATTCGGACGAATGCGCTAAGCCCCCCAAAGCCCCGTGAATCCCATGTTTCACAGACGCCCCTGAGCCCCTCTCCACTCTAGAGCTTGCAGGGCTTGCTTAGGGTCTATAGAGTGTGGCGAGTTTACTGGGTTTCGTTAATAGGTTCTTTAGGCTCTGCAGGGTATAGAATTCCTGCCCCCCGGCTGGCTTCGAGCCGGGCAAGTGATCTCAGCTTACGCAGGTGTGCGAAAAAAAGGGTCTGAGACCCGAATCATCCCCAAAACTCAGAAGCAGCAAGCCCTGAACCCTGCACCCTCAGCCCGGCGAAAAACTCTTGAAAACCCTAAACCCTATACAGCCCCCTACTAGACCCCGAAAGGCTAAAGCCTGGACCCTAAACCCTTAACCCTTGACCCGTAACCCTAACCCTAAACCCTAAGCCCTAAGCCCTAAACCTAAACCCCAGACCCTAAACCCACAAAAAAAGTAAACAAAAGCCACAAAGCAGCGCAGGGGCTGCCCGTTTCCAAGCAGAGCCCGGACACTGCAGCCGAATGGAAGCCCGGAGCCCGCTGTGGACACTCTGAAAGGGTTTAGGGTCATAGGGCTTAGGGTGTAGGGTTTAAGTTTAGGGTTTAGGGTTTAGGGTTTAGGGTTGCAGGGTTAGAGGGGTAGAGTGAAATACAGCGTTAGAGGGTTGTAGGGCTCTAGGCCTCTAGGAACCCTAGGTTTAGAGTTATGGGGCTGTAGAGCTGTGGGGTTCTGGGGTTGTCGAGTTGAAGGGTGACTATAGGGCTATAGGGTTGCTAGGATTGTAGCGTTACAGGGTTGTAGGGTTGACGTCCTGGCCACAGACGGTGCATCTTTTGGACCCACTGAGGGCAGACACTCTGTACACCTATTTCCTGAAGCCCGCTCTCAGGGACTCCAACCTCCTTGAATTTAAGGAGTATGCCTTAAAATCATGTTTCAGTCCCTTTTGCAATTTAAGGGGTATATGCTAATCGAGGCACATTAGAGTCTCTGGGCACCGACCCATCCTAAAGTCTGAACCCTAAACCCTGAAATGTTGTCTTTGCTTGCCAGTCGCAACAGAGCCCCCGAAGATCAGAAATGGCCGAATCCCACCTAAAGAGCCCGAAAGTTTCAAGACCACCTACTACTACTGCTACTGCTACTGCTACTGCTACTACTACTACTACTACAACAAACACCACTACCACTACCACTACCACTACCACTACCACTACCACTACCACTACTGCTACTACTACAACAACTACTACTACTGCTACTACTACCACTACTACTACTACTACTACTACTACTACTACTACTACTACTACTACTACTACTACTACTACTACTACTACTACTACTTCTACTCTTTTTTTTCTGGGGGCAGGCTGTTGATTTTCAAGCTTCCCGACGGGGAGCCTCTCCAAATACTAGGGTTTAAACCCTGAACCCTAAACCCTAAATCCTCAACCCGGACCCAAAACCCTGAACCTTAAACCCTGAACCCTACTCAGGTTGACCTTGTCCCCGCTCTTCGCACGCGTGGAGCCGACGCTCACGACCCAGAAGGCGCCTCGCCTAGGACTTGGGACGTTCTCTTACTGTTGGTTCGCAGGGAATGAGGGAATGAGGGCCCTTATGTGTATATATATATATATATTTATTTATTTATTTATTTTATTTATTTATATTTATACATGGCCCTATATGAGGGAGTTAGGGCCTTATATAATCCCATTAAAGGGATTATATAGTGTACCTCATTTCCCCCCCATTCCCTGCCAGTAGGGGGGTTTAGGGTTTGGGGTTTGGGGTGCAGGGTTTGGAGTTCAAGGTTTAGCCAGCCACTGAACAGGCTGGTAGCCTCAAGCTTGTGATCGATGTCTGTCAACCCTAAACCTTATCACCAAACCCTAAACCCCTAAAGCATTCATTCTCCTGGACCCTTAAACCCTTCCTTAAGCAGGCTTGATGTAGCACGGAACCCTAACCCAAAATGCTGGGGGGAGTCGTTGGGAGGGGTCTTGGTGGTTGCTCGTGGGGTAGTTGCGGGTTCATTACAGGACTTTTTTCCCGTGAGGGCAATCACAAGCCAACCGCCAACCCTAAACCCTAAACTGCATGTACTTCGAGGTGCGAAATGGCAAGCTGTCTGTCAAGCTGATGAAGCTCCTTGCTTACTGCGATTATGAGCAGTCAGAGCTGTGCAGCGGTGAAGGGTTTTGGGCTTTGGGGGTTTGATTTCGAGGTCATGTGTCAGTGTTCAAGCGCAGTACACCAGCCGCTGTCCGTGGGCAGGTAGTCGCCACCGCGATGAAGCTTGCACTCAACCCTCAAGCCTAAGCCCGAAACCCTAAACCCTAAACCCTAAACCCGAAACCCTACAAACCCCACAAACCCCACAAACCCCGCGCCGCGCAGCCAAGAAGTGATCCCAGGTCCAAGGTTGGACCCTGGAAGAAGGGCGTCAAGTACTGAGCCGCCCCAAAAAGCTTGGTTGGGTCCAACCACTGGGCTCTTGGCTTCAAGCCCTAAACCAAAGACCCCAAACCCCAAACCCTAATCCCTCAACCCTAAACCCCACACCCTAAACCCTGAACCCTAACTTCTAACCCTTGGTGGCTTTCCCAGATTTCTGATCAATTGTTTTTGTTATGGACCACCTTCTGCAGAACACATGGCCAAGTCCTCAGCACCAGGGAAGTCCCTGGACGTTATCTGTCTCAATGTCCTCACGGCACGGTTTAGCTTCACTGCCAGCGAGGCTCTTGTAGCACATTTCGCTCGCGGAAACTGCTGGAGACCAGCATCAAAGACTCTGATCCTGCAAGACCGAAACCCTTGCAAAATGTGGGGAGGCACCCCGATCTGCATGCTAACGCTAGCAGAGGCCCTCGATCATTTCGCGCTCTTCCAGCAGGGTCTCGTGTTGAGGATTTAGGTTTTAGGGATCAGGGTTATCTGTTGAGGATGTACGACGTCGGAGATGTGGGGCGTTTCGTGATTCGTCTCGTCATGTCT